TCGCCCACAGCATCACGCCGCGCATGATGTCTAAGCCACTGGCCTTCATGACTCGACACTGCGTCCCTCTTCCTCTTGCGCCTTCCCGAACTCGACTAAGCAGATATCACACAACTCATAGGAGCAAGGGGCCGACCCGCAACAAGTGGGAAAGATACACCCACTGGAGGAAAGAGGGCGGGGGCCGATACTAGTGGGGACTGGCCATTTTATCATGTAGTGTGTTCTCTCCATATGAAAGCACTGGCGTGGGCAACGTTGAAGAGAAACGGGTAAATGCGTGACTACACGCTGTAGTTGCTAAGATATCACTCATTTTTCTAATACGAAGTTGCTGAAACAAGGAAGGCTGTATTAAAACAAAAACATTTGTTCTCCATATAGAGTCAAAGAGAATCTTTTAGAGTCACAGCAGCTGCCCTGTTTTCATTAAGAGTTCTATCGGAAGGGGGCCGGCGTTGTGCTCTAGAAACCTAAGTTTATATTGAATGCAGTATAACGCAGGTATACCTGCAGGTCCTGTGTACTTGGCAAGTAAGCAGGAGGTAGAGTGTACTTAGTAAAGTAAACACTAAAATATCCATTCATTTAGAGATTTAGTGTACGTCAAGTACACACTACTTCCTGCAAACTTTTTGAAGTATAAAGTACTTCCCAAGTACACAGGACCCCCTCCACTGATGTATATGTATGCAGGTCGTACTGCATTCAAGTACACACTTAGGGTCGAGGAAATTAGAACGAAAATGTGATTGATTTTGTTACTAACACATGCTGCTTTTTTACAGTACATACTGTAAACTAGGTAGATGTACGCCAGACCCCGTCTCGCGTAACAGGATATCTCACGAAACACTGTTGCACTGCGACGCGCCTGGCATACATCTACTAGGCCTGCGGCGCTGACACCCGAGTCGGATATTGCAAAAATCAACACAAAGATACGGGCCTCTGGCCTCTGGCCCGTCAACTTCCCGTCACTTCGACAAAGCATGCTGGGTTGTACATTTTTTCGCTTATTTTGGTCAAAAACTCCCTGTGGCGCCTAAATGGTTAAAGATAGAGCCAAACGGATGAAATTTTCGGCTATGCTATAGAGCTCTACTTTCATGAGTTACCCCTTAGGAAACATTTAAAAAAATATTTTTAAAAAACCTCATTTTGGGGACCTGCGGTTTTTGATTTTTTTAAATACAATTTTTGAGCTAGAATGCTCTTCTTCGAACTTGACCTGTATTTTTATGACACAAAACGACCCTGAAAATCACAGGTCGCTAGCTCAATAGGGTATTCCGCTGAAACACAATCGGAACCTAAAGAAGAAAAGCACGACTACCCGATCTGCTTCCTCCTGAACACTGATTGGTCAAAGATGGCGTGGCTGTGGCTGTCAGCCAATGAGCGCGCAGAGGGAAACAGATCGAGCAGTCATGCTTTTCTTCTTTAGATTCCGGTTGGCTTGCAGCGGAATACCCTATTCGTTTTTGAATTATCGTGATGACAGACAAACAGATACACAGATAGACAGACAGACGCGAAACTTTTTGATCATCACTGTTGTAATAGGCTTCGCTAATCGCTCAGCCAAAAACATGATCAATCAAAATTTTAGAAACAAAGTTTTCGACCGAAAGCGGTCACTTTTGTTTTGCCCCTGTAAAAAGAAAGTTCGCACCTCGTGCGAGTGAAAAAATTTCGCACCTACAAGAAGTGCGAACACTCAGTTACTTCGCACTTGATGATTAACTTCCACACTCAAATGAGCAAAACAGCGCCTTTCGCACCGTCTGGTGTGATCTGGAGCTTTCGCACTCGCGAAGTGCGATTTTCGCTCTGAATTTGGCTCGGAACTTTTTAGTGAGTACAGAAGGGCAGACACGAGAGTGGTTGCATATTCCCTGAGCAAAAAATTGCGATAGAATCACGTTTTTTATTTCGTGCACTGCACAGATAGCCAGTGTCCTTATCTCCACTGTTACAGCTTAGCCTTTTGAGAATTGTGTTGAGGGCCTGAATTTTAAAGTTAGACCACAGAACATCTCGTCAGGCCACGAAACGTTTTGTCCAGACCGCAATCAGCTGAATTTGTATTTCTAAAACTTTTTTCCCCGTGCTACGCAGCCAGATAATGCAGGTAACTCCGCTTTGTGCAAAGTTTGTTTCTTTAAGGCTAACTTTTGCACTGTTATATTTGGTGTTCGTACGACAGCTGTAATGCGCCCTTGGTGCGATCCGATCTGCTTCTCCTATAGTCATCCCCTCCTGCCCCTTTTCACGACCCCTCAGCGTTGAAAGACTTGTGGAAAGGCTTGTATTGATTTTTATATCACACAGGTTACGCCTATAACTTCCCTGAAGAAAAGAAGCATTGTATCATGGTGAGCCGTCCGTAACGCTGTGACATGCATGTGTGTTCGGGTAAGTAATCGTTCAGTCTTTGCCTGAATCAAGAATGGATGGGCGCAACACACCTCCCGCTACCAGGAGAAAAAAATACTTCTGTGTCGAAATAGTTCACTAATTAAAGAAATGCCATTGCTTGCTATATGCGCCATCGCCATTGCCAACAGAAGTTAGTAGTATAATCGTAAACTGGAATTCAGCCATTGCGGCCGTCGCGCCACTATTCAACTGTGGAAGGCCGTCACGTTGTCACGGTCACTCGAATTCAAAGTGTGATACTTTTCACGCATTTATGTGTGATAAAATGTCTTGTGTGATTCCGATGATTTATTGCTCCTGGGGAAGTGATGAATTTTTGTCACAAATTTTGAGTGGTACTTATTTTTTTTAAATAATGCGATGGTTCCGGATTTATCTCAAAACGATGTGATGCAAATTGCACAAAACTATGATACCTCTAAGTATCCCTCAAATAAGTTATGGTCATCACAAATATAAGCAATGAATTTTATTTTGTACTTTTTCTGCGATGACCATCACAACATCGTGCAATATTTCTGTATCACAGAAAACGTGCAGTCAGTATCACACTCTGATTTACTGTGTATGTGTTGAGAAACAACGTAGCACCTCTCTGTCGCTCACAAATTGCGTGACGGACGAACATTTTTGACCATTTCTCCTGGAATTGCCCATAGATGAACGCTAATTTTGCCGTTGACGCCTGTGCGCGCACACTCCAGGAGCATGCCAATCTTTGCCTTCAACTGGACGATGCAGTCCTTTTCGGTGTGCGATTACTCTTCAAAGATGCCGCTAGTGGATGACCAGGGGCTTTTGCAAATTTCGAAATAGAATTAATTGAAAAAAAAAAATCATATTTTTCTCAAACACTAAGAAATGTGATTTTTATTTTGGTCCACTTCCGTGCCTACTGATTTGTTTTTAACACTTCCATCTTTAAATTTGAAAAATCCCCAGGTCAACCACTAGCAGCATCTTTTAGGAGTAAATAGCAATTTTTTTGACTGTCATGGCAGACCCATCCATTGTGCTATAATCGTGCACGCCGAGACTGCATAGTTCCAGTTGAAGGTGAAGATCGGGGACAAGGGGGCAGACCTGTGAATTGAAGGGTTTGGGAAAATACTACTCGTACCGAGGGGTGCCCAACTGTGGTAATCAGGAGTACACAGACTTGGTAATCACTGGTAATCACTGGTAATCACTGGTAATCACTGGTAATCACTGGTAATCACTGGTAATCACTGGTAATC